TATTACCTCGATCGTAAATTTTCTGAGTCTTTTATATTTTTTTACAAAGACTTACATTCTCTTATATTTTTTAAAACAAACTGTACTTAACATTTACTGCTCGTTTTTCCTAAACTGTTAAATTTAAAAACGTAATCAAACAATATTGATTCAATCTAGACTAGTGTTTAATAGTCTAGATATCTTCACTATTATGGTGCCCTCTATTACAGTGTCTTATTGATAATAATTAAACTGTAAAATTTCGTTGTAAATGCTATTTAAATTATTTGTGTCGGTTCTGTAATTAATTGTATTATTGTTTGCTATGTGGTACATTTCACTTATATTTCTTTTGTATCAATTGTCTTCTATATCTAAAATAGTTGCTGTTTCAAATTTAAAATTGTGTCTTGTTTTAAAATGATGTTTAGCTACCGCGGTGGTATTGGTTTTTTATGCATTAGTAGGTTTACAATCATTTCTATGTTGATCTATATTTTTTTTGAGTTTTTGTTTTGTTTGTCCTATATAACATTTTTCACATTCACATGATATTTTATACTCTAAGTTCGACTCATCTAATTTATCAACCTTATCTTTTAATTTAGTGTAAATGGAATTCACTTTTACTAAATTATAGAACACTAGAGAGTTTAATATTGGTGTTTTTAAAGCATTTGTTTATTTTATTCGATAATGGTTTGATAAAAAGAAGCTTAATGAATTTTTTATTTTGTTGGTTATTTGGATCTTTTACCCGATCCTTGTCCATTTTAAACTTATTAAACACCATATGGATGAGACTTGTGGGATAGTTGTTATTTTTTAAAAGTGACTAAATACTTCTCATATTTTCAACATGGAATTGCTTACTGCTTAATGTTAGTGTTCTAAATAATAAACCTTTTATAGTACTAATTTTTTGATTAATTGGATGGTTCGAATACATACAATATCAACATAACATACCAATATATAACATACCAATTCGTTAATATGGAACCATCTTCGTTTCTTATGATTGTCGTGTCTAAGAACGGTAAGGTTCCATTATTTTCGATTTCGATAATAAATTGGATTTTCTTATTTATGCTGTTGAAGGTTTTTAGTACAAGGTTTATTCCATCCTTAGGTATTGCTGTGACAATTTCATCAACATAAACCTTTAGGAATGGACCTGAAAAGGCTAAAGTGCCTTTAATTTTTTTTAGTATGTAGTTCATTACTAAGTTGGCTAGCACTGGACTTCCTGCATTCCCCATGCTAGAACCATCAAGTTGTTGGTAGAACACTCCGTTAAACCGAAAATAGCTCGATTCAAAACAAAATTGTATTAGTCCTAACAAGATATTGTTCGGGATCTTTATAGAGTTTGAAAGTTCCTTCCAATCTTTGTTGATTGTTTGTATTACCTGTTGTTTCGGGATGTTAGTGAACAGTGAGATTTCATCTAACGAAACTAGTATGTACTCCTCTGGTATTATTGTTTTTGTATAAACTTTACAAACTGAAAAAAATTCTTGACGAAAAAAACAAATTTGTTTGAAATTGCTGTGGTTAATGTTTGATGCAAAAATTTAGCTCGTTTGAACGGATGGAGCACACAACTGGTCTCATGACACAACCTTGTTTGTGAGTTTTTCTTTATCCATAAATTTATGAGCTAACGAATTGTAAGATCTGAGGTTCTCGTAATTGGACTCGTCCAATTCTTCAACCATAGGAGATGTAATGTCGGGTGCGTGAGACACCATGGAAAGTAAGTCGATCCTTTCCTCCTGAGCATTGAGTTTTATTCTGCTTAAAGCATCCGCTGCACTATACTCACGACCCTTCTTATATTTGATTTCGAAGTTATATTCCTCCAACTTAATTCTTAATCGTATTAAGCGAGAATTAGGTGTTATTAAGGAACAAAGCCAGGTGAGCGCTTTATGGTCAGTTACGATAGAAAATCTTTTTCCGTAGATGTAAGGCCGAAAATGCCTATATGTTTCTACGATCGCTAACAGTTCCTTTTCTATAGTGGAATAATTTAATGTTCTCGAATAGCATGATAAAAGATGTTTATCCTGAGATAATTCGGCTCCGATTTTAACGTTCGATGCATCCGTAGGAATGATGAAAGGCTTCGAGAAATCAGGGTATACTAATACAGGTACATTTATAATTAACTCTTTTAATTTATTAAATGCCTCTATGTTATCCGAATTTTGACAATCTATTTGTTCGTCTTTAGTAAGCACCTTTGTGAGTGGAGTAAATATTGTGGCGTAGTCCCTTATAAATTTTCGATAATATCCGGTGAGTCCTAGAAATGATTTCACCTCCCTTTGCATTTTCGGAATGGGATATCTTAATATAGCATTGATTTTATCGGGATTTGTCTTTATCCCCTCTGGTGTTATTATATGATATAAAAAAGGAACCTCTTTTCTTAAAAATTCACTTTTGTCTATCTGAATCATCAATTCATATTTTCTTAATTCTTCAAATATGATTTTCAAATATTGTAGATGTTCCTGTAGTGATTTCGAAAATATTACTATGTCATCCATATATACGAAACACAATCGGTGTAAATATTTACTCAATATCCTGTCCATCATTCGTTGGAATGTAGCAGGAGCATTTTTCAGTCCGAATGGCATTCGGACATATTCGAAGTGTCCGTTTTCGATGGAAAAGACTGTTTTCTCTATTGAATCTTTATCCACAGGTATTTGGTGAAATCCTTGTGCCAGATCTAGTGTGCTAAAGTAGGTGGATTTGCCTAAATTTTCCAAGATTTCCTCCATCCTTGGTAAGGGGTATTTATCATCAACAGTTTAGTCATTTAATTTTCTATAGTCGATGACCATGCGACATTCTTTTTTTCCGCTGGCATCTGATTTTTTCGGAACAACCCAAACTGGTGACGAATAAGGTGAGTTACTTGGCCGAATAATTTCGTCGTTCAGCAATTTTCTGATTTGTTCTTATATAACCTCTTTTAAGTAGTACTGATATCTAAAACTTTTGACATAGATCGGGTGTTCATCTTTCGTTTTAATATTGTATGTCACTGCGGTGGTTGCGGATAGCCTTTTGTTATCGCTGTAAAAGCAATCTTGATACTCCCGGCATAATGTTACGCTCCTTTCTTTCTCTTTGCTGTTCATATGATCTGTCATTATCTACACCTTCGTCTCCTGATAGTGATTCATAACGACGGGTTTGCACAGCTCCGGTATATTATTCAAATAATCTATTTCAAATTTTCCAGGACATTTTCCTGTGCTGAATGTTTTGGACTTACAATTTATATTTGCCTGTAAATTTTGTAAATCTCTATTTCCAATTAGACAATCATATGTCGAATGCCAATGTGCTATTAAAAATGTAATAGGCGTATCGTCTCCAAATTCCTGTAAAATTGGAAACGTGAGAGCATGCGTACCCTGTGTTACCTTGTGGAAAAATACGTTCTGAAAATAATTTGTATGCTATTTCTGGGTTCATGACAGATGACGATTCTCCAGTATTTATAAGAATTTTTAATAATGGGTTGCTAGTCATGAGTTGTGGTAATTCAGACGAAATTCCAATATTTTTTAAATTGATTATGTGCCTTTGGCGAAATTGCTGTCCTCATGAAAATTTTCAGCGTTAATTATTTTCCCACTTCCTTGTGTGATTGTCGATATTATCATTAATAAATGGCAATTCCTCCTGACATTCTGATGTTTCTTCCTGTTCTTCCTGATTATACAGTTCCTCTGAAATAAAATTAGGAGATCCTGTGTTCCTAAAGAAATCATTTCCTTTTGGTACGAAGTTATTTGGTCTAGCTACGTTGTTATTTGATATCGGTAAATTATTCAATCTACCAACTAGATTCTCATTTGGCCCACTGGTATTTCCAGCGTCCACCGACATGGGTGTTGGTCGATCGTTCTGTTGCCTAGGTTGATAATTAGCACTTCTTCCGAAATTATTTCCAAAATTTGTTAAGAATCGGGGTGGTGCTCGTTTAGTTACCGGCTGTGGCTGAAATGGTCGAAATAAATTTCCATTTCCCGATGTTCTGGGTGCGTTGAAGAGATTAGAATTCCTTGAATAGTTGCCTGTACCGAAAACGTTCGGTTTTGGTTTGATCTCTTGTTGTCTTATAAAATTAAGACTGCTGCTTGTTGCTCATAATTTTCCAGTCTCCTACATTTCACCAGATAGGCTTCGATATCTCCTAATTCGAATTCGTAAGATGTGTATGATAGGGTTTTCTGATACCACTAATGAATACATTTTTTGCAACATTTTCATAAAACGTAAATTTCATGGCGATTAATTGTGCGTTCTAAATATGTAATTGCACATGCTCCTTCGGTTGATTTTAATCGCTGCTTGATCTTATCCGCATAACTTTCGTAGCTTTGATTCGGTAATTGGTAACACTTGTTACGTTTGCTGAATAATAACTCCTCTGAACTAGCGTCATTATATCTATTTATTAAAAGCGTTTTACACGCGGCCCAACTTGTCGGGTTATTCGAAACTATTAAATCCAATGCTTACCCCCGTATTTTTGACTTGATAAGTGCAAATAATGATGTATTTATAGCATCGTCGCTTGTCATTAAATTCTCGACAAACATATGACATGTTTGTAAAAAGCGCGATAAGAATCTTGTTCCTCCTTCATAAATGGGAACCGTGTCCCGCCATATTTCTAGTCTTAGTTTAAATTGTACTAAAACTAATTTGTGCATTTTGATTCTGAGCCATTTTATATTTTAATTATTTAACGTAAATATTGAATAATAAAGGACACGTTGTATATTCGTAATGCTTATTTGATTTCTTTGATTTTTGCTTTCTCTAAATTTTATTTAGCTTTCCTGTATGTATATATCACTTTTATAGTAATCGTTTTTGCGTAACAATCGTATTTGGGATAGGGTTATAATGAAATGGATTGAAAGGAATTCCAAAGACTTATTAGTTTTCTTTGGTGATTCAAGGTTACACTCTGTTTGTAGGTGGGCCTCACAGCTTGACGTGGTGAACTGTGACGATGGGGTTAAAACACCAGCTGTCTTCTCTTTGATGATTTCCGCCAAAGGTCTGGCGGAGAATCCGGATTTGTCGCTTCACAGTATCCTACCAGTTATGTTACGGTGTACGATGTATGAATTCACAAACGTAAGTAATAACGAATGATTTATTTGGTTCAGGTAAGTGAGTAAACAATCGAACTAAAAGAAGTTGATTAAAATACTTTTTACTGATTAGTACGTGTTTAAGAATCAGCATTGTTGCTGAGCAGAAATTAATATCGCAATCGGCACACATGAGGTCAGCACCTCTCGGAGAACAACTTCCTTATGATCTCTGAGACGCATGCGCGATCTTTAGATCTTTTATCTCAGGAAGTAACGACCGTTAACGGCCATTGTCAATTCATTCTTTAACTCATTCGCACGTGCCTCAGTTTCGTCTCAGCTTAATTTCAATAGTGTGCTCATCATAAGTTAAATTCACATCGCGGATAGATTCATCGTTCTTCTTACATAGCGATCGAAGCATCGGTGCTTCCATCGGCATAAGACGCATCAAGTGCATCACCATTTAACTCTTCTCACCACGTGAAGTGCCGAGCGCGTGGCACAAATCGCTGACTTTCAAGGCCACTTAAAAACTCAGCTCACAGAGTATCTATTGCATCTCTGTGGGGGAGCATTCAATTTGTACAACTCTTTTGTCTGTATTCATCTTTAGATATTATCATTCAATTTGTACTACTCGCCGGTTTATTTTCATATTTATACATTATTGTACTCATATCTTGACGTATTATCATTAAAGATGTTTGCGCTTTTACAAGCACCTAACTTGTTTTATTGCAAAGACCCTTGTAGCGAATTTCGCTGATCCCAGCGTACTGTCAGCAGGGTTAAATTTCAAACATTACGTCTTTACAGATTGAATGCTTGACAGAGAGTGAATCGTTTCCGATGCGAGGGAAATGATGGTAAGCACTTTCCTTGTGCCCCTTATCGCATTCCAACTGCACGGCCCTTTATCTCAAGCTGCCTTGCTCGGGCATCGAGGATGTTTAGTCTACCTATTATATGATGATCAGGACGCTAGCCGCTTGGCACCCAGATGCCTAGAGGCCGAGTCATATAACTCGCGAGAGTGCGTATTATCATCAGGGCACTTCCCATCAGATAAATAACGAAGTGTACGAGGACGCTCTACACTTGTATCACCACGTGTTCGATGAGACAATTATTACATCTTTATTTTCCAATAAACAATAAGTAAGCCACGTGCGTCACCCGTGGTTGACCATCACTAACGTATAGACAAATATCAAGCAGGCTTTTTATACCGTAAGGCTTTTCCCTGACGAGCCAATAAAGTATTATACCTTGTAGTATTGGCTCAATCAAGTGTTTTAATTTTATTTTAATTTAACCTTTCGCCTTCCTCACAATTAGTTAAACTTAATCACCAGAAGAATCCATGTTGGAGGAATCTGCGTAAAATACATTTTGGTGCCTCCTGTGAGGACTGAATTCCTGATTTCTGGTTTAGAAGAAGTTGAGAATAACGAAATTGAGAACATCTAGCTCCTGAATATCCACGCCGCCTAGTCGAGCCTATCATCACACAAGATTCGGAATCAGTGATAAGTAGATTTAATTATTCGTGCGTGCGTTTATGTGTATCCATCTTTAAACATTAATAGATATTTTACGTGAAATCGCGTCTTCAAACTCCGTGAAAGTTCGTAATTTCTAATATAATTATTCATCTTTCTCCTCCTTTCCAGCAAACAATCATATTAACCTCGGAGCCGACCAATATAATTCAATTTCTACATTCATCCAAAGTAATATATACAAGTAGAATAGTTATTTTCAGTTCTGAAATCGCTTTATTCCCGGATAAAGGGCGAAAACATTCCCGCTTACAAGGGGACCTTACAATGGACCATCAACGGATTTTAACGAGCTTTGATATACAGTTAAACCTCCTATAACACGGCACTCGCAGACCGCGATTTCCATATAACGCGGTGCTGAAATTGCGACAGCCCTCCTCTAACGCGGTACTCTTACAGCGCGGTTTCCGTTCAAGAACATCCCATA